TGCTTCTTCCTCTGCATCTGCTCGGTTTGCATTAATTTCTGCAAGTGTTCGGCCAAACCGTGCCCATTCATCATTTCGGGGAACGGCAATCTGCTGTTAAAAGAAAGACAACGTTTCATGTGCACTGAAATAAAAGATTATTTTATCTACTGCTACTCAGTTTGTTTTCAAATCTTTTTTTTTTTTTTCCACTAAAAAGTGATAATTGTCCTGGATGGCTTTTCCACATGTCAGTGACTATTAACAATGATTTATAACATTTCAAAACAACAGTATGTTGTGACAGCCTCAGGAGTGACCTTGCCATTATCACCCTCAGTGCAAGAGCAAATAACCAGGATGCTTTGTAAGCAGTAACTCCTGTGCACCATCTTCAGGATTTTGCTAGCAGAGAGGAATTCCTTTAAACACTTCACTTCAGTTTTGCCTTATCCCTACTATGAAACGGTTTCAAAGCATGGTTCCTAGGAGTCGTTTGGTAGACATACCTATTCTTGTTTGCAGCATTACCTTTGATACCCTAGTTCTTTCCCCAGAAGCCACAGTGTTGCTTATCATTTAGTGCTGGTAGATCAGCAGCAGAAGGGACGAGTGAGCTGGTGATGCTTCTGCCTCACGGAGGGAGTCAAATAATACAGGTTTTAGATAACTGCATCATAATATCAGATATTATGATAATATCAGAGTCTGATACTGCCATGACAGGGCACGAAGCACGCACTTTGGCTAATGGACGTATCTGCTTCTAAGTCTATACTGCCCAGTAGAGTAGCTGCTGGTCATATGTGACTATCCATACTTAAACTAATCAAAAATTTTAAAAAATTCAGTTCTCCAGTTGTGCTAGCCACATTTAATTCATAGCCACATGCTGCTAGTGGCTACTAGCCATATTTAACAGTGCACATAGGAACATTTCTACCTGTGCACAGAGCTCTACTGCCTCTTCTAAAAATGACTCAGTCTAACTCCCTCCAGATCCAAATGCTAGAGGCCCTGGGGTATGAAGGAGGATGTGAGATCATGACCACAGCGGAAGAAAAATAACCAAGGCTCCAGCCAGGGCTGCCATGGAGGAAATCAACCCAGGCACTGTGTACTGCCAAGCAGAGCACTAAAGATGAAAGAACTGCAACTCATGCTGTTGAATTCAATTATAACTGCTTTGGATCAAGGCTCAAGATTCACATTTCCCAGTCACCTAACCCTCAAAAGATCTAGCTCTTCTAGTTTCTACTATCTGATGAAACAAACCTATACCAAAAAATTTCATCTCAATATCAGTTCTGAAAACAGCAAAGCCCACCTATAATTCCACATTTCTTTAGTATGAAGAACTTCTAACATTTAGCAACACAAGCTTCGAGCAGTAGGGGCCTTCCAACATATTGTATTACTCTCAAAATCTGTTACGTAGAACATCCAGTTTAGAAATAAAATTAACTTCAAGAGTTGCTTCAGTGGTGCAATGTTTACAACCATATTTTTATGCAATTTGTGAACCATGAAGACAAAGGTTAGCCACTAAGATACCTTCACTCCAGTGCCACTGAACACATGTATCAAAATTACAGGCAGTGAGTCCCATACCTCTCCCACGTCATAAATAACAATCTGTCCTTCAGAATCGCCCACAGCGATCTCTCTTCCAGAATGCGTCCATCTTACACGATTGAGAGCTGGATTGCCCTCCACAGAAATGCTGGCAGCTGGTACCTAGATCATTTAAAATACAGTACAGTGTTATAAGTTTCATCAAGATTTCTTTTTTTTTTCTTCAAAGTTTTATTGATAAACATATAGCAATGAGACAGTTTCAAATCAAATCGAAAGTACAGTTTCAACAAAAGATTTCTATAAACATGTAGAACAGTAATTCTTTTAATGTGACATGTTTTTAAGAAACAAATGAAAATGAAGAATTTCCCCAAGTTTCTTCCTGTCTAGTGATATATTATGAATGACATTACATTCAATCCTTGAAAATGGTTTGGAAAAATAACTTAAGTCCTTATATAAGAAATTCTCATATGACTAGCTATAGCATTTTGAAAGATCACTTTAATAAAGGATATTTTTATTGTTTTAACTTCTCTGAGTAGTCAAGACCATTTGAAAACGTATGTCAAAACCCGTATGTTTTTGTAAATGTCATTTACAAAAACATTTCAAAACCTCTCATAAAGAGATCATGGCTCAATTTTTTTTTTTTTTTTTTTTTTTTTTTTTTTTTTTCACTACCAGGGATTGAACTCAGGACCCTGCACTTGCCAGGCAAGCGCTAATTCTACTAAGCTATCTCCCCAGTCTCAGGGCTCAATTTAAGAGGACAGGAGTTATATTCGCAGCTTGTTTCTCTGACAGCTGAAACTGTATTGGTCCACAGTCCCTGGTAAAGGTGCAGAATAGGTCTTTTCAAGGCCCTGGCTCCTGTGCACTGGCAGAGGGAAGCAGGAGGATGGTAACAACAGGACGGCACCAGCCCCTTGGGATCTCACTGTCCCTCTCCCTACGCTATAGAAAAAGATGTATTTGCCATACATGAAGCAAACCTCAATATTTGAAGCTATTTATTTATTAGATACAGGGTCTGGCTATGCAGTTCAAACTCTTAGTGATCCTCCTGTCTCAGCCTTCCCAGCACTGGGATTATAAGTGTGTGCCCCCATGCCTGGTTTTGGCCAGCATAGTGCACCAATTCTGGGGCCAGCATGGCAACACAGTACTGGGAATCGAATTTGGGGCCTTGTGCTTGCCAGGCAGGTGCTTATACCACCAAGCTCCCCAAACCTCAACATTTGATTAAGGCTGAAATGTACAATGAAATGTTTAAAAAGTTTTGAAATCTGATCAAAATCACTTGGCTATGGCTTAATATCTTTTCCTAGAAGTACCTGAATGTTCCTCCCTAAACTATTAGGCAAGTTCATAATATGTTAAGAATTCTACATTTCAACATATAACTTCCCTAACCTTGTATAACCAATTATTTTACTTCAAGGAATTTGGGAAGATGTCCACAGAAACGAGACGTGAGAGAATGCACCAAGTGAGCTTCTCTTCAGCAATTATTACTAATGGAACTGCTAACATTACTTCTATTAATCAACAGCAAAACTGAAATCTAAGAATATACACCTGTCTAGGCAGGTAAAATGACAGCAGAAGTTACATGTTATTGCTAATGAATAATTTTAATATAGCAGTAGTGCCTGTATTTTTTTTATAGGGCCAAGTTATACTGATCTCAATCTTGGAAAAAACTTCAAAATACACTGTCCTTCATTCAAATAAGTCAGGCTAAGACTAATATTTATGGATGATACACAATTTGATCAAAGCGAAGAGGTACAATCAAGGTTAATATGCTTTGACAATCTGAAACTATCTGCTTTCCAGCTTATGAATGAAATATATTCCAGTTGCCTTATGAATGAGACTCTGCCAGGACATCAGACACGATGCTGCTTTTCCGAAGCACGCAGACATGCCCCGGTACTCACAGCAACATTATTTCTCCCTTCAGTTCTGCACAGCATGCTGTTTGTTATTTAGCTTCTTTGTGAAGAAGCTACAATCATAGGGCGCTTTTACATTCCTTGGGATAAAAGGAATTTCACAAATTATTCAATAAATCTCCAATTTTCTATTTTTCAGTGCAATTTTTGTCATTTTCCTGCTCACCTCTGTGTCATTATTGAGATTCCATAAGTCCAGTCTCCCCATGCCATCCACACAGGCAAAAAGGGCTGGGTGGGTGGGTGACCACATAACATCATAAACATAGTCCGAATTATCTTCAAATGAATACAGCGGCTTATTATTCTGCAAGGGAAAAGCTGATTCTTAGTACAGTCAGAACAAGGCATGACCTACACACAAATTATTAAACTACATCATCACTGAAGAAGTGACATGCATTCAACAGGTACACATTTTATGATATTTAACTCAGTCTAGAAAACATGGCTGTAATTTGTTGCACTGTAGAGTTATCTGGTGGCATTAAACTAAGAATTAACTACTAGGTTGCATTTTTTAACTTGTAGATGTCATACTGTCTGAAAATGTACAGCCCATCCTTTAAAACATCCATCAGTGAGGACTTTGGGATGACCACAGCAGCAACAGTGTACTTTCTGATGTTGTTTTTTCTTTTTTTGGTGGAACTGGGGATTGAACTCAGGTACCAGGCAAGTACTTATTCTACTGAGCCATCTCCCTGGCCCCAACAGTGTACTTTTTGAATCTCTCCTAAATCTCCACATGACACTAGGTAATACAATGTCTACAACAAAATCAGGAGGTAAGCCCCAAACATAACCAGGGAAAAACAATCTTTTGACAACTACAGACCTACATGCTATGGGCATCTGCATAGGAGGAAGTGGGAGCAGGAACAAGAGTGTGTAGCTGGGGCACAGAAAAACCTGCCAACAGCACATGCTCAGGGACAGCATGGTCTGCCAGTAAGAACAGCAGCAGAGTCCAGAAAGGAGCAGGCACCACCTCACTGGTACACAAATGCCCGCAGCATAATGTAAGTAAGCTCTGGTGCATTCTGGGTCCTCTCAACCCTCAAACCTAGCCAGAGTTCCCTGCTAAAATAAAGTCTCACTACAGAGAAATGGCTCAAGTTATGACATACAGAGTTAAAAGGGATAAAGGAAGAGGAGGTTCAGATAAAAGCAGAAAGGAATGGAAGTCACATTTCAGAAAGTACCATATAATCACATGTGGATGTATCCAACTTAAAAAAAAACACTGAATATGAAGTTTAACTTAGACTAAGAAAACTGTCTTTGCTCAATCTTTCCTTCCTAAAATGACAGAATAACTTATTTCACTAGTAAATAACAACAGAAAAATACTGTGATAAAATCCCATATTAAGTTTTTGTGGTGAAGAGAATTCAATGAGGAAAGATTAACTCTATTAAACAAGGACTTATGATAATGGGACAAATGCATATATGCCTGCAAAAAACCCTCTCAAAAAGCTGAAAAAGCAAGTTGGAAGCCTCCTTTTTCATGCCATAAACAGAAATGAATTCAAATGCATCACAGAGCAAATGGGAGACCCAAACACTAGAACTCTTAAAGCACACAAGTAAATCTTAGGGCTTGCCAAATAGCTTAGCAGATTAAAGTGCCTGCAAGCAAGTGCAGGGGCTGGAGGTTTGATCCCTGGGCCTGCTGTGTCGGCTCTGCCCCTGGGGCACGTTGTGTCAGCAATTGAGACTGGGCGTGGTGGTGCGTGCCTGTAATCCCAGCTCTTGGGAGGTTGTAAACAGGCGGATCACTATGAGTCTGCTATGAGTCTGCTCTAATAGTGAGACCCTGAACACCCTGTACACCCCTCCCTAAAATACCAAAAAAAAAAAAAGAAAAAGAAAAATAAATCTTTAAACCTGGATTCAGATAGTTTCTTAAACATAAAACCAAAGGCTAGAGACACAAAAGAAAATGTAAACTAGCCTACTAATGAAATTAAACAATTTTGTGCTTCAAATAATACCAAGAAAGTACAAAAGCCTACACAATGAAAAAAATTTTATAAACCATACAGCTAATTAGTGACTCAGATCTAGAACTCTAACAATAGCCAATAAGCACATGAAAAATGTTCAACATTGTTAGTCATGAGAAGAATACAAATCCAAACGACAGGGAGGAATCACTTCATACTACTAGGCCAGTAAGATAAAAAAGACAATACAAAGAGTAGGTCTAACCTGTTTTGAAACTCTATTTTCTTGTTTTTTGTTTTTTCTCTTTAAAAAAAAGTATAGGTGGGGGGGCTGGGGAGATGGCTCAGTGGAATAAGCGCTTCCCTGGCAAGCACAAGGGCCTAAGTTCAATCCCTAGTTCTGAAAAAAAAAAAAAAAAAAAAAAAAATATAGGTGAGGATATGAGAAATCAGAACCCTCACTTACCTGGCAGGGCAGATAACCATGATCACCAAGAACCAGAAACCTCACACCTTGCTCACAGGAATATAAAGTAGTATGGCTAGTTTGAAGAACAGTTTGGTGCTTCTGCAAGTGTTAATTACAGCTAACCATTTGACCTAACAATTGCACTCTTAGGTATATATGCCAGAGAAATGAAAATACAGGTGCATGTACAAAACTTACACGTGTGTTTCCAATAGCCTTAGTTGTAATAGCACCAAAGTGAAAACAGCCCAAATCATTAACTGATGAGTGGATAAACCACTAGCAGTGTATCTACACGATGGGCCATCAGTCAGCCATAGAAAGAGTGAAGTGCTGACACATGCTACAACCCGGATGACTCGAGGAAGTGAAGAGAAAGAAGCAGTACATGTACTGCACGATTTCATGAGACCTCCATAAACAGTCAATGACAAATCCATACATTAGTGGTTTCTAGGAGCTGTGGGAAGGGAAATTACTAATGGGTAGATCATTTCTTAAATTTAAAAATGCAAGATTAGACACTAATGATAACACAAACCTTGGTGAACATACTATGAACCACTAAAAGTACATTTAAAAAGTATTAATTTTATGGTACATAAAATTAATGGTATGGTACATTAATTATGATATCTGTAATCCTAGCAGTTGGGAGGCTGTAAACAGGAGAATCACTACGAGTTCGATCTAGTATCAAGACCCTGAACACCTTGTAAACTCTTCCCTAAAATATAGAAAAAATAAAGTTTTTTTTTAAAAAGGAATACAATGGATAAAGCAGAGAGAATGGATATAGCAACACAGAGCAGAGATAATGAACAATCTCTAGCTGTTTTCAACATGAATCATAGACTGTTAACCAAAAGAAACCAGAGACAAGTGAGTATGTATTCATTTCACAAAATATTAAAGAAGCTACAAGCAAATTAAATAAAAACTTACTTATAACAAAAAAGACTGCTAAATATATCAGGAAATAGTTGGGCCAAATGTTTCATCTACACAGTGGACTATTATGTAGCCAGAGACAAAAGCAGGATGCAATGTACCTGCATAAAAGATCACAATAAAAAAAGCAGTATGCTCTCAAATTTTAAAGAATGTGATTATGGCCCTTTATAACATTTTTCTTTTTCTTTCATTTTCTTTTTCTTTTTAAACATTTTTCAAGTTTTATTTTTAAAAACATTGCTGTCCATTAATTTTATTTTTCCCTTCAGAGAGAAAAACAGACACATTTAACATCAAATGCTGTTTCATAATATATTAATTTTACATATGATGCTGTAAATAGAAACCCTAAATTATTTAAAATAGTGAAGTCAGGTGTGAAGGTGCATGCTGGTAATCCCAGCACTTGGGAGGCTGACATAGGTGGATTGTGAGTTAAAAGCTAACCAGGGCAATGCAGTAAGATCCTCTTTCCAAAATGAAACAAAATACAAATAAATTTTTTTCTTATTTTAAAGAGCACTTTTACCCAAATAGAGCAGCAGCGTGGAAAATCTGAGGAGGGGCCTAGCATGTAGTCTTTTGCTTTAGGCCTTCTGGCAACTAGTTTTTAGGATTGGGAAAGGTCACTACATTATTCTAAGCTACTTCCTTACTTATAAAACAAAGACTATGTACTGTGATTCTGAAGTTGATTATACTTGTAACCACCTATAATCTTTGAAAAATGCTGTTGCCTGAGTCTCTCCCTAAGATAATCTGAATTAATTTTTCTGGGAGGCCACATAAGCACTGAAAATTTAAAAAATTGCCAAAGTGACTCTAACAATGTGTGAACAAGACTGAGAAGCGCTCTTTCTGGCTGGAACCATGGAGGTTGCAGAAGAGAAGAAAAAGAAGGTTCCTGCTGTGCCAGAAACCCTTATGAAAAAGCGAAAACATTTCGCAGAGCTAAAGATAAAGCGCCTGAGAAAGAAGTTTGCCCAGAAGACGCTTCGCAAGGCAAGGAGGAAATTCATCTATGAAAAAGCCAGGCACTATCATAAGGAGTACAGACAGATGTACAGAACTGAGAACGGAATGGCTAGGATGGCGAGAAAAGCTGGCAACTTCTATGTCCCTGCAGAGCCCAAACTGGCATTTGTCATCCAGATCAGGGGGATCAATGGTGTGAGCCCAAAGGTCCGCAAGGTGTTGCAGCTTCTTCGCCTTTGCCAAATCTTCAATGGTACCTTCGTTAAGCTCAACAAGGCTTCAATTAACATGCTGAGAATTGTGGAGCCATACATTGCATGGGGACACCCAAACCTGAAGTCAGTGAACGAACTAATATACAAGTGTGGCTACGGCAAAATCAATAAGAAGCGAATTGCCTTGACAGATAATTCACTGATTGCTCGATCTCTTGGTAAATATGGAATCATCTGCATGGAGGATCTGAGTCATGAGATCTATACTGTTGGAAAACGCTTCAAAGAGGCAAATAATTTCCTGTGGTCATTCAAGTTATCATCTCCTCGAGGTGGAATGAAGAAAAAGACCACCCATTTTGTGGAAGGTGGAGATGCTGGAAATAGGGAAGACCAGATCAGCAGGCTTATTAGAAGGATGAACTAAGGTATCTACCATGGTGTTTTTATGATTTGGACAGTTAATAAAGTATCTGCTTCCAAATTGGGAAAAAAAAAAAAAAAAAAAGACTGAGAAGCATAGGGCCAGGGTGATAGCTCAGTGGCATAAATGACTGCCTGACAAGCACAAAGTCTTGAGTTCGATCCCTGGCCCTGGGGGGGAGGGGGAACCATTGAGAAGCACAAAACTCTATAATATCTATAGGTCTCTGAAGCTGTAAAATTCTAACACATAAATAACTTATAAGACATATATGCCAGCTGTTGTGGATATAGCTCAGTGACACAGTATCTGCCTGGCAAATGCAAGGTCCTGAGTTTAATTCCCAGTAACAAACAAAACAACCGTATTTTCCAAAAGAGTTATAATCAAAACAAAGGGCTTCTCTGAGGATAGGTAGTGTTTGAATAAGCAAACACAGGTCACTGTGGTCCACTTGTGAGAATAAACACTGCATGGTCAAGGGACTCACAATAATTTTTTCCTAGGCTCAAGTTATACTCTTGGTTGAAGAGTGTCCCTCTAAAATACTGGCCCACCTGGTATCCATAAATGTAACCTTATGTGCAAAGATTTCACATGTAAGACCCTCAAGTTAAGATGAGGTCATACTGCATTAGAGTGGACTCTCAATTTAACATAATTAGTGTCCTTAAGAGAGAAAAATATGGACACAAAGACATGGTGAGACAAACAGGCAGAATGTCTTCCAATGCAGAGGCAGACACAAGTGAGATGGTTGCATGCCAACGAACCAAAGGACTGATGGGAGACAACTAACTCACTCTCCAACCTCCAAAAGAACCCAGCTTGTCAGCACCTCCACTTGGGAATTAATGCCTCCAAAGTTATGAGAATAAACTTTTGTTGGTTTCAGCCACCTATTTGTTCCATCAGCAACAGAAAACTAATACAGATGATATTTCAAAGCTTGGGTAACTGGAGAGTTCTAGATTAGTAAAATTAGTAGCAATAGGAAATACACTGATTTAATAGTGAGGTGTTTTGTAGAAAACTGGGAAACAGGTATGTCCTCAACGTGTATCAGAAGAAAAATAATCTCAAGGTTAAAAATAGCTTACTATAACTTTTTGGAAGTATATCTTTTTTTTTTTTAAAGTTTTATTGATAAACAGATAGCAATGAGACAGTTTCAAATCAAATCAGAAGTACAGTTTCAACAAATAACACACTGCATATATTCTTCTTAGTGGTTAATTGCTGTACAAGATGTGGACTTGTGATCCTATTTACAAACACCATTGGAAGTATATCTACTAAAAGTAAAGTAAATAAAAAAGAATCAAAATCTTACAAGGAAAATGAAGATAGTACACTCTAGTATTGTTCAGGGGAGATGGGAGTGTGTCTCCGCTATTGGATTGAGAATTACTACCCCATGGCAAGGCTATCTCTATTTGAAGATGAATGAATCAAGCTATCTTAGCTTGATGCCACTGAATATTCAAATCATAAAACTTCTTTTGTTCTAATTCCTATTCACCAAGCAATCTTCTGATTATAATTTGGCTTCCCATGTGGGCTGGCTACAGGGAAACAATGAGCTGCTCAGGCCAGCGGGAGTATCGGGGCATTCCAGCAGTCAGGTTTCTTTCTCACTGTAAATTAATAAATCGACATTCTCCAATGTATCAGTGTCTTAGAAGTCTGTTACTCCCATTCAGCACTCCCCTGTCTAATCAACTCTAGTAGGCTGACAAAACTGAGTAAATATGCAGAAAAGAGGCTGGACACTGGCCAACTGCAAATCACTGAGGTAACTGCTGCTAGAAGGGATGGGGTCTAGATCAGCAGTCAGTTTCCCCAAGAACCCTGAAAACATGTTTTCATCTTTTTTTTTTTTTTTTTGGTGGAACCGGGGATTGAACTCAGTCCTTTGCGCTTGCCAGGGAAGCACTTATTCCACTGAGCCATCTCCCCAGCCCCCATGTTTTCATCTTAATTTGTCTAGTATATGCAGTATGATCTTTTGATCTGTTATAATGTAAGTATCTTCTCAATATTAAACACAAAAGCTGCCAGATTAAGGAGGGGCTTTGAGACATCACAGATTAAGAGAAATTTCAAGGCACATATAGACTTATAGAACTCCAAAAACTGCCTATTCTAAGCAATTACCATATTAGCCAATCTTAGTTTTGCCACTTTATGATAAACATATATTTTTGTGTGTGTATTTAGGTCAGGGTCTACAAGGTCTACAGGCTCTCATTATACAGATCACACTCATAGTGATCCTCCTGTTTTCAGCCTCTCAAGCACTGGGATTACAGGTGTGCACCACCATGCCCAATCTCAATTGCTGTCTCAACGTGCCCTGGGGGTGGGGCTGGCATGGCAAATGGGGTGGGGGTGGGGGATTGAACCCTGGCTGCTGTGCTCTGCCTAAGCAGGCCCTTTAGTTCGCTGAGCTATCTGGCCAGCCCCATAAACATGGTTCTGATAAGTGTTTATTCTTATTTAAAAGTCACTTCTATATTGAAATACAGCAAAATACAAAACAAAAATATCAGCCACCTATCAACTAGCTGTGTGGTACAACAAAATCAAGTATCAACCAGTCCACTAGCACAGTAAACTCTCTTTGATTAGGCAAGATGAACTCATTTTTAAAATCTGTTTATACAAAGATGGAAGCATCAAATTTAAAGCCAAATAGAGGTTGGTAACCCAAATCCCTGAGATTTAAAACAAATCAATGTACAAATAGATACAAGAATCTTTTCAATTGTCAAACAGGAAGTTGGCCAAGAACCTAATAAACATATAATGTCTCAACCAGGTCTGGTGGCATATGCCTATAGTCCCAGCTGCTTGGGAAACTAAGCCAGGAAGTCTATGTTCAAGGATAGCAACTTAACAGCCCTGTCTCAAACTAAAAAGAAAAAATGACTAGGGATGTAGTTCAGTAGTATATTAAACCCTTGGTTTAATCCCCAGTACCTCAAAAACAAACCCTCATCAAAGCTACATGCATGGGGTGGGGGGAGGGCTGCAACTGTACACAAACCCAAGGTGGGAAGGTATGTGGACATCCAGCGATTTAAGGGGCTGTCATTTCAGTTCTGTACTTTGGTTTTACAAGCTAAATTGCATACTTTTTTGCTTATGTGTGTGAGAATCTTTTCTTCATCTTTTCTTAATCTATAACTCATAAAAGGACAAAAATTTAAGAACAATCTTAAGGAAAAGGATTTTGTAAATATATTTCTACGTTGTTGGTTTTTTTTTTTTTTAATTTTATTAAATGTATTCGGTACAGGGTCTCACTACGCAGCTTGGACTAAGTAGTGATCCTCCTGTTTTTAGCCTTCCCAGAGCTGAGATTACAGGAATACACCACCATACCTCTGGATCCTGTTATAAGGAAAAAGAAGAACTAAACACTGCTAAGTTCCTTTTATATTCTGGATACCATATCAAGCAGCTTTTTCAGACATTCCTTTCATTTTTTTTTTCTTTTTCTTGGCGGAACTGGGGATTGAACTCAGGCCCTTGCGCTTGCCAGGGAAGCGCTTAATCCACTGAGCCATCTCCCTGGACCCCCTATTTCTTTCATTATACTTAAGGGTAAGTGCTATTTTTATGTCTGCTAATGCCAAATCTGAAAGTGCTCGATTATAAAGAGCAAGCTTGGAGAAACAATCTTCTCATATGTATCATGTTAAACTAAAAGGAAGCACCAAGACAGGGTGCTTCCTCTGTTTATCTCAGATTTCTGAGGCAAGCACTCAATAAGTACGTAGGAGTTCTTTAAAACAATTAAAGGTACCTCTTAAAATGAGTAGGTTTTCTTAAAGCACAAAACATAATCTCTAAATTGCTTCATAAACTATTAAAGAAGTCATCATTTAGGATAACGTAGCTAGAAAGAAAACAATTAAAAGCTTTAAAATTTAACTTAAACAGAATCTGATAGATGGAGTGTACACTTTTGCCAGCAATAAAGTGAGACTGCAGAAAAACTCCATAGCAAAGTTAAGCTGCTTCTACTATAAAATAAGTTCAAAGAAAATGAACCCATTTCCACTATAGTATATAATACCCCCATTTGGATTTGTTTTGAGACTTTCAACCAGACAGGAAAAAAGTCAACTTGTTGGAATTGCTGGAGGATCAGAAAGCTAAACTTTATCACATAAATGGGTGTTTCAAGGATTGGAACCTATCAAGAACAAACTATATAAATAAGTAATTGTGTAGTAAATAATTTTATATAGTAATAAAAAATACACCCATGCCTTTTCACCATTCTTTCTTCATGATTCAAGTTTATTATGTATAGTTTATGGCACTGGACTTCTTTCAAATCAGTTTCTGTCTTTTTTCCATCTCATATCAGCTCTATGAGGCAGTCTAGTTCTGAATAGGTCTCTAAGCTCTCCAAGAAGCAAATGCATGGCTTTTGTGTTGGGCTAAAAGACAACTACATGAGGTACCATGCAAGATACTTGGGCTTTTTCTCCATCTTAGAGTAAATAATTCTATGTTTGAAAAGTCTGAAGTGGTGGGAAGACTTGTCTTTGATCATGTCTGGGTTTACTAGACTTGTCAGCACACTCTTATGAAAATGACATCATCACTCATGCTCTGTGTAGCTTCTTACCAAGTCTGATTTATTAACAAACGATTCTAAGCTATTTAAAAGCTGTCTTTTCTATGTGATTGTAGAGCACCACCTTGTGTCAGAAACCTGACCAAATGGGCAGACATCTGTGTTTTTAGATACCTTAGTTGTCCAAAGTTTTACTGTCCAGTCAAATGAAGATGTGACAAAAAGATGTGAGAAGTCTACTGCTCCAACAGCTGCATGACAGTGGATACCAGTGATTGGTCCTTGGTGTCCCTCAAACATCTCACTGATTCCAGCTTTGCTGTTTCATAAAAGTGAAAATATTAGTGAAATCACTTAGAAGGAAACTATAAACACAACCTATTGAGATCTTGACTTAATTCCAACAAACTTAATTGTGTACTTATAATGCAACAGAATGACTTGTTTGAATGTTATTCCACCCAGATCTGACCACACTAGTAAAGCAATAAATACATTTTAGAACTAGAAACATCACGCTGTTGACAAGAGAATTCAAAAGTCCAATATCTGAGCTGCCAGAAGAGAGACAAAAGGATGCTACATGTAAGAGAGACAATCTGGGCTACTTTTAAATCAAAAGCTTTGAAGTGAAGGTGATCTATATCTGAGATAAAACTCAGACACTCAATTTTTTTTTAAAGGAAGCAATTGATAAGGTACAGCTAGACAATTTCAAAATAGATTGAACAGCAGGAGAAATACTAGTCAATTTAAAATGTGTACGTGACATTACTGTACAATTATCAGGAGGACTGAACTAAAGCTCAAAGTCTAAATAAGTAAAAATGGGAAAATGGCTGAAGATCTTATTTATAATTTAAAGGCCAGTATATTGCATGTACATACTGTACTGCTGAAAGTTCCTCTCTATCACTACCTTCTGTGAGCACATGCAGGCACAAAATGACAATATACTACAACCCACAAAATTTAGGTTCCAAACCACTTAAAATTTAACTTTTAATTTTATATGCCTAAACTCAGTCTTTCACAAATAATGAGTAGCTCTAGGATAAATTTCCACTTTTTTTTTTTTTTTTTGCTATCCAAGTATTTATTGAACCATTTCAAAAAATTCATATTGAAATGTTTCATAACAAAAAACCTGGAATTTTTCTTAGAAATGCTTTCCTTAAGAGACAGCTATAGAATTACCTTAAATTTTACTATGACTTAGCTTAGCACTCTAAAGAAGCGGCTTTCTTTTTCCAGACTAGCTTACTCACTATCCATTCAAACAGATTTCCATTTAAGTAAGGGCCTATTGGATTCATTAAGTTATTTAAGGGCAAATTTTAAGTAATTGCAAATTCTATGTCAGGTTTACCTGCCATGGCGGCATGCTGTGTACACAGAACCTTCTTCACTCCCAACAACAAAGTTGTTGACATCTCCCACAGGGAAGGACATAGATGTCACAGC